TTCACGCCAGACACCAGTCCAATTTAATTATTCGGACTTAGAATATTTTGCAACCAAATCATTTTGTGCAGTAAAAGTGTTTTATTTACATATTAATCAAATAAATATCTAATAAATTAATCACAAATTAAGTTGTTATACTTATTACACCCAATCCATCTACCTCAACACCAGTCGTTTGTCCTCCTGTATGCTGGGACGCTACACTACCGTGAATTATACCTTTATTTTTATTATCTATTAATTTTTGCTGTGAATTTTATTATATATATTATTTAGTATCATTTATGCTTGATATACGGGCTACAGCTCTAATAGCTCCCGTCATATTATATTGTCATTTGCTTGGCCATAAGGGCCGCTCATTTATATTTATATCTAACCTAACCTTGTTCTGTTGGGTCAGAAGGGCMACAATATATTGTATACTGTTATAGCCATAATGGCTTGATTTATTATATTTATTATATTTTTTATACTTATTGTGTTGCTGTTATTTTATTATATATTTGTATTATTACTATTATTGTATATTATACAGCATCTATACAGCATTACAAAGGTTGCACTCGAACGTTTCCACACATGTTGCGGCTCTGAGGACACTAGGGCAACCTGTGGATCACTGGGATGCATGGTTAATCACAATAATAACAAGTAGGTTAGACAAGGGTACCGGACATAGTTGGCAGCTTCATTTGAGAAATACTGAGTTACCAGCATATAAGGATCTCGAAGCATTTTTGGCTAGTCGATGCGTAGCAATGGAAAGCTCGGAGACTGTATGTCCAAACACAATTTCTACTAAGCTCACCAATATTAATAATCGTAAGACGATGTTCTCTAAGACACCTCAGCTTACAAGGAAGGTGTTAATTTCTACTAATAATAGGCCAGTCCGTCCGTGTCCATGTTGCTCTGAAAGTCATAGGTTGTTTGCGTGTGAGCAATTCAAAGCTCTCCCAGTAACGGAACGCTTGAGCATGGCAAGAGTATCACAGCTATGCTTCAACTGTTTAGGTCCGTTCCACTCTGCTGAAAGCTGCAGATCAACTTATACGTGTCAAAGGTGCAAGCAGAAGCACAACACACTTCTTCATTATGAGAAGCCACTTACAGCTGGCCAAATCAGTGTTTCAGATCAAGCTAAAAGCAACATTGATACTACCTCAAGCCAAGATTCAAGTCATAGTGTAGCAWGTCCCKCACAAGGAGGAAATGGTCATGTGTTTCTTTCTACAGCGTCTGCTCTAGCAGAAGATCGGTACGGTGAATTCAAAACATGTCGTGTTATATTGGACAATGGATCACAGATGAACTTTGTATCCAAAWGCTTCGCTAATTTATTGCAACTTCCACGCAATAGAACGATACTCCCTATAAGTGGCATTGGAACAAATCGAACACAGTCTGTCTCAAGTATATCAGTAAAGGTGAAATCTCGAGTAAAGCAATTTGAAGTCGACTTGGTTTGTCACATACTACCAATAGTGATAGATGCCTTACCAAGTTGTTCAAAACCGAAAGGTGGATGGGAGATTCCAGAAGAACTAGTACCACAACTGGCCGTCCCGTCGTTCGATTCAACAGGAAGTGTTGACTTGCTCATTGGTGGCGGTATCTTTTATGATTTAATTGAG